ACTTCTGTTTCCCCTTTTTTTTTTTTTTTTTTTTTTTTTTGGAGAGATTTTCGCTATAGGACGCGTGCGCCCTTCAGACAGACAGAGACAGAGAGACAGAAAGCGAGAAATCACCCCCCAGGGGGGATGGCCACGCCGCAACCCCTTCTCCTCCATTCTCCTCTCGGGATCCTGGGCACGCACGCACACGCGCCCAGCGTGAGTTTTAAGCCACGGGGCCCAGGACACGAACCGTGGTCGACTACGTGGGAGTCCAGCGACATAGCCATTACGCTAACTGCTGGCTCCAGGCCATCTCTTCTTTCAACGCAGAGGTCCTTCCACTTCGGCCACTGACTCTGGTCTTGCAGTTCCCTAGGCGAGAACGAGCTGCCATTTGTTATCCTTTCCTGTCTCATTGGTAATTGGTGCCGTGGAGGAGTGCTGGGGCGGGGGAGACTCAAGGGGTGCACATTCTTCTCCTCTGGCACGAAGATTTAGATTGGTGAGATTTTGCTCGAACACCTTCACCTTTCCCTCTCCGCCTCAGCCAAGCCAGAAGGTCGGATGGAAAAGTTGACACCGGCCCAGGACCGACCCTACTGCGACCTGCATGGGAGACATGAAAAGCAGGGGGCCGGAGGCAGTGTGCCTGGACTCTTTCAGGACACAGATCTGCCTTTCCTTACCAGCTGGCATGACCTTGGAAGTAGTCAGTATTAGGCCTTTGGCACCCATGCTTCATGTACTTTGTATAGTGCCTGGCACCACAAGCACTCAAAATATATTGTGCCTTGTACCTCCTCCCAGCAGGGGGATAAAATCAAGCTTTAAAGTTTTTTTTTTTTTTTTTTTTTAATTTTTTTTTATGCCATAGGACATACACGCTTGCCGGGGAGAAACAGGGAAAGTGAGAACTCACCCTCGAGGGTTGGCCGTGCTGCTATGCCTTCTCCTCTTGGGATGATGGGCATGCACGCACACATGCCTAGTATTTTCTCCAGGCCACCACATCTGAGACTTGAGCTTTCAATGTTGGCCAGGTGGGATGCAGTGCCTCAACCACCAGACCACTGTTGGCCCCAGGGCTTGGCAATCTTAGAGTGGAGAGCCAGATGGTAGTTGAGCAGTAGTGCGGGTGGGCCCATACGGAAAGGTTCCAGGTTTCTGTCCCAAGGCCTCCTTGTACACAGCAGAGGACCTGAGTGCCCATAATCTGGACTGGCTGAGGCTGGGGTCAGATCACACTGTAAAGGCTGTTAGGGGTAAGACTAGCAGATGGTGTGGTTACGTCACTGGACTCCCATGTAGTCGACAGCGGTTCGAGTTCCAGACCTGGCGGCTTAAATCTCACCCCAGGCATGTGTGCATGCAAGTTCAAAATCCCAAGAACGTGTTGATGATGACGTGTATAGTATTCTCAACTGGATTGGTCTGAGAAGTATTTCATGATGGGCAAAGTATTTTTACAAGCAAAATGAGAAATAGCAATTGACTGTTTTATAAAAATAATTAGAATAATAAAAATAATGATTGGGGAAAACAGAAAAGATATGGAATGTTGAAGTGGGGAGATTAATGTCTGTACTGACTGACATGCATGGCATTCCCTTTTGAAAAAACAATGTAATACACTGTAAAGTTATATGTAATCCAATGTAATATAAAGAAGATTATGATGATAATAAAAATAAATAAATAAATAAATAAAAAGAAAAAAAAAGAATGAAGAAAAAAAAAGATTAAAAAAATTAAAAAAAAAATGAAAAAAAAAAAATCCCAAGAACGCAGGAGAAAGGACTGTGGAGTGTCCGTTCCCTTGGAGGATGATTTCTCACTTTCCGCCTCTCTGGTGAGCACATGCACCCTGTAACAAAAATCTCCCTTAAAAAATTAAAATAAAGACCATTGGGAGTATCTCTCTCATGGAAGAAGTAAACTTAAAAAAAAAAACTCTTAAGTGTGAGAACAGATGTTAAAAGACTTTCAAGTTGGGGAAGTGACTACCATTAGCTGAAATGAGAGTTAAGAAGAGTCGAACAGGTCACCTAGGAATAACCTGAACAAACCAGTTGGAATGACCAGGGAAGGTCGGTGTCTACAAACGAACACAACCACCCCAGGGCAAAAATGCCCAAATCAAATGGCCTAATTGTAATGCAAATCTAGTTTACAGTCTCAGAAACTCTGAAGACTAGGGTTTTATTTACTAATACACCTAGAACAGAGCGGGCCATAGATAAAGGCACCTGTAGAACACATGGACGTGAGCTGCCCTTCCCCAGCATGCATCCTGATTCCCGAACTCGGCTGCACATCTGGACCAACTGTACCCACCGCTGCCTAGGAATGTACAATAAAGGTAAGGGGAGGGGAAGGGGCGAGGAAACGGCCTAGACTCTGTATTTGATCTAGAAAATTCTGGGCTTCAGAGTGGTAGGGGTGGTTGTTTCTATTTACACCCACAGCAATCCTGCCCCATTCCCAGCACCCTCCAGGACAGCGCTCCAGGCCGTCCAGCTGTGCCCTTGAATTTCACGCACACGAACACTGGGAAAGGTTAAGGAATTTTCTTTATTTTTTACAAATTAAGACTATGTAGATTTCATATATTTCTGAATCAAAAACACCTTTGTCTTCACAGTATGAGTTAGAGAATGCAGCCTGAGCTGAAAACCAAGGAACTAGAAAAGAAAGTTGTAATTACAGTGATAACTGTATTAAAAACCTGTTAGGCATTTTCTTTAAAAGTAGTTTTTTTTTTTTAATATCTTGTCATTCTTGGCACTGTTTCTAAAGAAAAACTCCTTTATCCCAAGCAAAAAAGCACAAGAGGTGGAGTTTGGCTTCAAGAGATGTAATTGAGATTCTCAGGCCTGACAGAGAATCACCAAAGTGAGGGGGATTTGCTAGTGGGGGCTTCACAGGAATGAAGTCCCTTTACCCAGGTCTCAGGCTAGAGGCTGGAGGCAGCAGAGTGGAGGGTTGGCACCCTCAGGAGAAGCGAGCCATTGTGGCGGCGTGCCCAGGGATACGTAGCCTGGGATGTGTCAGGGATGGTATGGCACCATGGCATGCTGGGAACCCACAATCACTGGCAAACCAGGCACTGGGAGTGACAATCTGCGAGGTCAAACTGGTACCTACTGGTAACAGGCTTTGGACAGCGCTGTCCCCTTACGCTGGAGCCACACCACTCCTGACACTACCCCCTTCTGTGCCAGCCGACAGTGGCAGACCCCCGGCCAGTGATCCCCATCAGGCCTGTCCACCCACACTACGGCCCCAAAGCTGCAGGGAATCGTGACTCTTGCAGGTCTGGTCACCTCATTCCTGCCTAGAAGGCTGCTGATTTCTGGAAACAGGTGAACGACCAAAGACTGACTTGCTTCTGTAAATGAACATTTATCTGCTGCTGGAGCCTCTGGCCTGACACCATCAGAGTGTCCAGGTGGGGATAGACAAAAATGTCCAATAGACTGTTGAGAATGCTGCCTCTTGAGTCGGCAGTCTGTTCTGTTGACCTGAATGAGGAACCATTCAGCTGGTGGAAGAGATGGTGTTCCCCTTACCTAGTTCGTCAGGCATGATTGTTACAATCAGCGCAGAGGTTGGCCATTCCCCTCCCCACTCTTCTTTTCTTGGGAGCTTTAATCACGGCCACTTGGCAAAAGCCATTCAGCAACTACTGTGATAACCAATTTTTAAAACCCCCTTAAAAATGGGGATTCTATGCCATGCCCTGCCACACGTAACCAGCCTTTCCATAATGTCTGACAAGAATGGTGTTCCCTCGGTGTTGAGATCCTCCCACCCCAGGGATGGGAAGCAGGCAGATTCCCTGAGGGCAGGCGAGGGGTGGCATGGGGCACGCACACATCCAGTTCTGCGATGGCAAGGCAGGAGGGTATGTCTGCCAGACCAGCGTGGGCAGCTTGGAGGAAGCCATCCACCAGGAGGCTCTTCGTCTTCTCTGCAGGGGCTGATAGCTCGGATACAATGAGCCCGAGGAAACAGCGGGCCAGCAAACCTCTTTCCAAGGGGAAATGCACCGCCTCGTCCCACAGGGGCTGTGCACAACCCGAACAATGCTGAGGAGGAAGGGCGAGGCGGGGCTGCACGCAGCTGAATCCTGGTGAAGCTGGGTGGGAGGCGGCCTCCTGGGTCCACTCGCTCTGCTGGTCCTGCTCCTTGGTGGTGGCCTGGCTGCCTGAGCAGATGAAGAGGCAGGGTGACAGAGAAGAGAGTGGGGAAAAACCCCAGGAGTATGAAGCCAAACTCCAAACTATATTCTGCTAATCAGTTTTTTGATCAAAAAATTCAAAAGAGAGAAAACCACAAAGTACAAAAGCTTTTCTGATGCTTTTCATTATCACAGAACACGCCACCTGTAATGTGTGCAAAGAGGAAATGAGGGGCGGAGGGAGAGGGAAGGCTGAATGGTCATTTCACTTCTTCTCTTTCTTCTTGTCCTAGAAATGAAGAAAAATTGCTCTGTTAATTTTTGGCACACCGAACCTTCAAGCTTTAAAACTCAAGTGAGCTGTGGGACCAGCAGTTAGTGTAAATGGCTATGTCGCCGGAGTCCCATGTAGCTGACTGCGGTTCGCGTCCCGGACCCGGTGGCTTAAAACTCACGCCGGGCGCGTGTGTGTGCGTGCCCAAGATCCCGAGAGGAGAATGGAGGAGAAGGGACTGTGGCGTGGCCATGCCCTCTGGGGCTGATTTCTCGCTTTCTGTCTCTGTCTGTCCTTTTCTTTCTGGCGAGCGCACGTGCCCCTCAGCAAAAAAAATAAAAATAAAAAGTGACCACCATCCTCTGCTGGTTCCCAAAGCCACTGACAGACTCACTGAGAATGCAGAGTAAGCAGCCGCACCTACCTGCACCCCAAGAGTACCCAGGTGGGATGCCTGACCACTCAACTCCTCACAACTACCACCGATCAAATCCCAGCCTGGAAGTCTGTTTTGAAAGGCTAAGACCACCAACTGTCCACTAGGCCTGGGAAGTGCTTTATCTTAGAGAGGGAAGCATGAATCCTTGCTGTAAACCTTGAGAAAAACTGAATCCAGTGAAATTTTATTTACTCTCAGGTGGAAACCCAGGGTATTAGAGGAATAATAGTTGGGGGCCAGCAGATGGTGTGGTGGTTAAGTGCTGGACACTCCCACATGGTCCATCATGGTTTGAGTCCCAGAAATGATGCTTGCTTTCTCACTTTCCCTCTCTCTCTCTCTCTCACTGGTCAAATTAAATGAATAAATGAATAAATGAAAAAATAAATAATACTTTAAAAGAAATGAATAACAGTTGAGTTGCTCTGACTGAAGTTGGGACACCTACTTGATGCTTGGTCTAACTGGCGCTGCCTGGACATCTGGCCACATCCCATCCAGTCACCTGCTCCTATCACACCCATCCCTGTTTTCAAATCTCAGTATATACAGATGCTGAGCTCAGGGGCCACCCTGTCACCTTCAGGCTGAGGGAAGACTAACCTTCTCATTCATAGCCAGGATCATCATGAGTTTTCGGAAGAGGGTAACAAAATCCAAGAACAGGTCAACACAGTGCCTGAAAGGAAAGAATCAGGTTAAGAACCACACTTCCTGGGACCAGCAATCAGCGTAATGATTATGTTGCTGGACTCCCACGTAGTCGACTGCAGTTGGGAGTCTCAGACCCAGTAGCTTAAACTCACGCCGGGTGCGTGTGCGTGCATGCCCAAGATCCCAAGAGGAGAATGGAGGAGAAGGGACTGCAGTGTGACCATCCTCCTGGGGGGTAATTTCTTGCTTTCTGTCTCTCTGTCTCTCTTTCTGGCGAGCGCACGCCCTATAGCAAAAACCTCTTAAAAAAATAAAAAAAGAACCACACTTCCTATTCTCCCTTATCCTCGGCTCACAAAGGTAACACAAACTTCACTCCCACCCCCAGAGTCAGCTTCTCCACACTGCACCTCCAACACAGAAGTAAAATTCTGGTGTTCTGTGATCCTCCTCAACTCACGGAAATAACGCAGCATAGTGAGAAGAGACTGGGCTGTGGAACTCGGAGAGGCTCAAGTCTGAACCCGGAACTACTACTGAGTTGTAAGACTTTGAGAGGATTATAACATTAAATAAGGGGGGAGGGGACGTTCCATAGCCTAGTGGTTAAGGGAACTAGATCCACATGGATGTCCACACAGTCTAAGTAACACACCTGATGGTGATGTGGTGGTTATGTCACTGGACTCCCACACAGCCAACAACAGTTCAAATCCCACACCAGGCAGTTTGAAACTCATGCTGCACAAGTGTGTGTGTGTGCATGCTCAAAATCCCTAGAGGAGAATGGAGGAGATGGGAATGCAGCATGGCCATCCCCTCTAGGAGGTGATTTTTTTCACCCTGTGTTTCTCTGGCGAGTGCATGTGCCCTGTAGCAAAAATCTCTCTCTGAAAAAAAAAATATATATATACATACATACATACATACATACACACACACACACACACACACACCTTTCTCACTATTAAAGGTTTAAAGATTACAGAAATATAAAGAGTAAAAGAAAAAAGACTCTTTTCCCTTTCCCCTGCATGGAGGTAGCCATTAATATAAACATATGTTATTAACCTCTCTTAAAAAAAGTCTGGTCCTGGGACCAGCAGTTGGCATAATGGCTATGTTGCTGGACTTCCATGTAGTCGATCGTGGTTTGAGTCCTGGACCCAGTGACATAAACTCACTCCAGGCGTGTGTGCATGCGTGCCCAAGATCCCGAGAGGAGAATGGAGGAGACAGGATTGCGGCATGGCCGTCTCCCCTGGGGGGTGATTTCTTGCTTTCTGTCTCTCTCTCTCTAGCAAATGCACGCACCCTATAGCAAAAACCTCTAAAAAAAATAAAATTAAAAAAAAAAGGGTCTGGCCTCTTGAATTAAGGGAGTTTGGGGCCTGGCACAGTGGTAAACAGTGCTCTGCTGGCTGCATGAAAAGTCCCTGCATTTGCACCCGGAGACCTCCCAGAGGAGGCTGGGCACACACGCGCGCCCTGATCCAGGGCTGGCGGAAGATGGGGGGGATCGCAGTGTCAAGACCATGTTAGGGATGCTGGTTTTTCTCTCCCTGCCTTGCCACTCTCCCAGGACAGAAGATTGAGGGAGACTATGTTACGGTAAATAATTCCCAAACTGGTTTTGCTACCACATACACTCCACAAGCTTGGCCACCTAAATTCCGCTGTGAAATGGAATGTATGAGGTCTTGACCTACACACCGTTAGAAATCAGTTCTCACACTCACCAGATATAATCCTTATCTCCATTTTCAGCCTTTTCAATAATGAGTTGAGTATCAAAAAGGACAAAGCCACACATGACCACTAGCCCCATGTACAGGTTTGCCTAGCAAAAGAAAAATGAGATGAGGTTACCATGAAGTAGAGGTCACAGAGAAAAAAACAAACAAACAAAAAAACCAGCTAAACTTTCTGGCTCTTGGTCAACAGAAAGTACATCAAATGCTAACCCTGTGAACTCTCACATTCCTGGGAACTGGAGCCTATGATGGAGAACACATCATCTCCCTTGGCACCATTCTGCATTCACTTTTGTAGGTCACTGGAAGAGCTCCAATCCTTTTAACAAGGAACCACTGCTAGACTAGCTTTTGTCAAACTATCTCTGAGCAAACTGCTGTCTCCTTAGCAATGCCCAGCCATATTCAGCCTGTCCTTTCACCTGTGGCAGAAGGCTTCACCCACTGAGGATTAGGAGGGAAGGACTGGAGAGGACTGCCCAAAGAAGGAGCACCCTAGCAGACTCTCGGCCTAACTTATTTTTAGGGTTAAGCAAGAAAAAATGTGAAGCAAATGGCTGCGGGAAAGTTCTAGGCAAAGTCTCACCTGGAAAAGCCAAATGGATCCAAAGAAGAGATTTCCCAGGGAAGACAAGAGCATCAGGCTCATGGCCGACATCAAGACACCTAGAAGACATGGCAATGAGCTGTTCTGAGAGAAGCCAGAGCGAAGTACAGCAATCCCACTACAGCATTCCTTACTTCCCCCCAAAAGAAAGGCTTTTCACTTCAGCCCAACAGTAACAAGGGAGCTGGGCACAGGGAGAGAGTCCAAGTGACAGTTATGCTGCAGCAGAGCCCGCTCGTTTCCCAGCCCCTTACCTCCCAGAAAGAGGTAGCTCCGCCGCCTGGCATAGAGCGCACTCAGGGTGAAGCAGGTGAAGATCATCGCCGTGCCCATGAAGGCAGTGGGAAGGATGCTGGCAAACAAAGACACCGTCAGATGGAGAGCCACAACTACATGGCCTATCCGAAGGTACAGCCATAAAGGTAAAAGGACGTGTGTCACTACCAAGTTACCTGGCATTGACAGCAATGCACAGCTCCAGAGCAGGGCCCAGTTACCTGGGGTTGACAGCAATGCACAGCTCCAGAGCAGGGCCCAGGCCAACTCCTAGAAAACAAAGATCCCAGAACAAAGTATTACCATCGAATCATTTTTCCTTCCTTCCTTTCCTTCTTTTTTAACTGCCAGAGGGTGAACTCACTCTGCAGACAGGGAGAAAGTACCTCTCTCTTCCTCACTTTTGAAAGCAGTCACGCTACAATCTCTTCTCCGTTTCTCTATCCTGTCAGGATTTTGAGCACACACATACACACACACTCGAGTTGCCAGGGCCAGGATTCAAGCCACACAGTTGGGCCCATGGGATTCGGTTCCCTTAACTACTAGGCCATGAGGCCAGACCTTCCTCTCCTTTCTTTCTTTTTTTTTTTTTTTGAGAGGTTTTCACTATAGGGCACGTGCACTCGCCAGACAGACAGAAAGCGAGAAGTCACCCCCCAGGGGGGATGGTCATGCCACAATCCCTTCTCCTCCATTCTCCTCTCAGGATCTTGGGCACGCATGCACACGCGCCCGGCGTGAGTTTAAGGCACTGGGTCCAGGTTGTGAACCGCGGTCAACTACGTGGGAGTCCAGCGACATAGCCATTACGCTAACTGCTGGTTCTCATCTTTCTTTCCTTTTTTCATGAGACAGACAACCACCATCAATTCTTAAAGAGAATCTTGGTCTGGGGCCAGGCGGTGGTATGGTCATTGAGGCGCTGGACTCCCATGCAGCTGACTGTAGTATGAGTCCCAGCCCCGACAGCTTAAAACTCATGCCAGGTGTGTATGTGTATGTGCATGTGCATGCGTGCGCCCAAGATCCCGAGAGAATGGAGAAGGGATTGCAGCATGGCTATCCCCCCTGGGAAGTGATTTCTCACATTCTAAAGCAAAACGCAAAAAAAAAAAAAAAAAAGAGAAAGGAAAGACCCTGGTTTAAAAACTAACCAATAACATAAGTATGCCCATCATGCCTCTGAAAAACACAAGCAGACTAAAGTAATTAAATCTCTCTCTCCTCCCTCTTCCTTGTTTTTAAAAAAAGTCTTAAAATACCTGATTGAGTTATTTATTTATAAACACAGCCGCACAAACTGTCCTCTTAGTTGAAAATTATGGATGGAAGAGAAATTAGGACAAAAAAAAGTAGGCATGTCGACATTCAGAGCTAGTGATGTGAGACTGTAATGCAGGCCAGGTCAGAAATGAGAAAAGGATACTGAGCAAAAGCAAGGCAGGGCCCCGTGGCCGGCAACCTCATTCGTAGTCATGCAGGACTGACTCCCTCGGCAGCAGAGGGGCCAGACCAGTTCTGCAGGCGGATGCCCGCCAACAGGAAGGCAACCTGTCCCAGGGCCAGCATTTCTCCTGCGCTGGCTACTGTCCTCGCTCCCTCTGATAATTCCTCCCCTTAACGCCTTCAAAGGCTAGCCTTCGCTCATTCAAAAATCTTAATCCCTAAATCCCTTCCTTTCTAGAATTTCTTCTACACTGTTTAGGTTAGACTTGTCACCTAGAACAAGCTCACTAACACAAATGCTGCTTTGCAAGTATTTTTCATTATGCTGCTCAAGTCCTATTCCCTTTAATAATAATTCTAGAAGAGGGAGCTGCACTTCTAATTCCTCTCTTGAGAATCAGGGCAAAGCGTCCTGCACAATGGATCGCCATGACGGGGCTGTACGTAACTGTTCACGAGGCTCAGGACAGAGGCTCCCATGACACTTGTCGGAACAGGTCCAACCAAGTCAGACTCTCAAGCTCACCTCAAGCCCAAGCCTACCGTTAACAAGCTGTGCTGCCTAAGCTCTTGAACCTCATTCTTTAAGCACAGTGTCTATTTTTTAATACAAAAGTAGAAGTCACAGTAGCTAGTCACAAAGAGCTTACCTAGGTGAACCTGTATGAAATAAGAAAGCAGTACAGGCAAATACATTCAAATACAGTGTTGGGAAGTACAGTGCTAGATGAAAGCAGAGCGAACTCAGGGAAGACTCCATAGGGAAGCCCTCTAAAGAACTATACAATGAAACAGGCAGATAAGAAAGTATGTAAGTAACTCAGAATAAGCAAATCTCAGGCTTTCGTCTAAAGAGATACTAAAAATATAGTTCTCTCTCTGAAAACCAGAAAAATTCTTTAACATACCTGTAAGGAAAGCAAATCCAGCAAGAAGTCCCAGTCTTTTCTGCTCGGTTTCACGGCTATGAGGTGTTGCCATCAGCCAAACCATCAACCCCAGGGAGCCGATGGCAGAGAGCAGGCCAGCCTGTCAGAACCAGAGTCAATAATGAAATACTCAAAGACTCCAAATTTATTTTGCAGGAGACCTTATGCCATTCAAACACTCATCTGACATGTAGGCGGGGGAAAGGCAGTGTTTTCCAAGGGTGGGGCCGAGGAGAGAAACCAGAGCCCGGAGGTGGAGTTACCACTGTGATGGCTACTAGAGGCCGTTCTGGCTTGGGAGGTCCGTCAGCTACAGGACAACCACCCAAGTCAAAATGAGTCTGTTTTGCCCAAGAAACAAGAGAAAATGAACCAAAGTGCCAAGTCTTGAAGCATATTTCATCTGCCAGGCAAGCAGACAGGATCCTCCCCCTCATGTAACTGCTAGAGGACACACACACACGCCAGAGACAGGGAGTGTGCGCACGTGAATGAGCTCCCTGCCCTGCAACAATGGGCATGGTCGGACGGCCACCCTGGTCGGACGGCCACCCTGTCTCTGCCACTTCTTCCTGTCAGGATTTTGGGCAAGCAAGAGTACGCACATGCGCCTGGTGTTAAGCCACCAGGCCAGGATTTGAACAGTGCTCCACCATGTGGAATCTGGCTCCCAATGCACAGCATTTAATGACTACACTGACAGGCTAGCTCAGAAATGGCTTTTTTTTTGGAGAGGTTTTCGCTATAGGGCGCATGCGCTCGCCAGACAGACAGAGAGAGACAGAGACAGAAAGCGAGAAATCACCCCCCAGGGGGGATGGTCACGCCGCAATCTCTTCTCCTCCTCCATTCTCCTCTCGGGATCTTGGGCACGCACGCACACGCGCCCAGCGTGAGTTTTAAGCCACCGGGTCCAGGACACGAACCGTGGTCGACTACGTGCGAGTCCAACAACATAATAGCCATTACGTTAACTGCTGGTTCCCATGTTCCTTCCTTTCTTAAAATATAGTCAATTCTTTTTATTTATGGTAGTGATGTTATAAAGCCAAAAGGGATACTGAATTAGTAAATACTGTGCCTTTGCTCCTGGGGTAAATAATGGGGTTAGGTTCCTACAAGCCTCTGGTGACATTTTCATCAACCGATCAATGCCGTCTTATGTGTTTCTATTTAAGGATACCTTGTTTGACATACACTATTGATTCATCAACACTGAACTTGCAACCAACAGCACTCAGTCATGCCTGAAAGAAGCTTATCTCACACACACACTTTCTCTATTAAGGCATATCGCAGACTTCTTGCAACTTAGGACCACTAGACAATCCTACATTGTTAGCATTTCAAAGAGTAAAATCCCCAACAAAAAAGAAAAAAAAAATCAGGAAACAGTCCTCAAAAAGGACACTTGCTGGGATCAGTAGGTGGCATAATGGTTATGTCACTCGGCTCCCATGTAGTTGACGGCAGTTCGAGTGCCGGACCCAGCGGCTTAAACACGCCGGGCGCATGTGCATGTGTGCCCAAAGAACAGAGGAGAAGGGATTGCAGTGTGGTCATCACCTTTGGGGGATGATTTCTCACTTTCTGTCTCTCTGTTTCTGTCTGTCTCTCCAGCAGGTTCATGTGCCAGATAGCAAAAACCTCTTTGCCAAAAAAAAAAAATGCATGTGCCAGATAGCAAAAACCTCTCTGCCAAAAAGAAAAAAGAGAGGACATTTGCTTACAGTGTGAGGACTGAAACAAGAAGACAGTGTTATCTCATTCACCCTCAGCTGGAAGACAGCACAACAGGTGACTTGAGTGTTTCACCTCTCTGCATATGTCTGTGAAAAGTGCCTCAAGTACTGATTTTAAGGGAACAGGTGAATCCACAAATATGAAATCCATGAAAAATGGACTGATTGCATTTTACTCCAGTACTCCCAACTATTATAAAAGTCAGGGGGGACTCAAGGGCCGGCAGGTAGTGTGGTGGTTGGGGCACTGGACTCCCACATGGCCTGGTTCTAGTCTCAGACCTGGTGGCTTGATTTTTCTCTCTTTGTCTCTCTCTGGTGAGCATACATGCCCTACAGCAAACTTTAAAAAAATAATAATAATAAATAAAGTAAATGATTAAAAAAGAAAAAAAAAACAACACCTCAGGGAGCCAAAGCCACACCCTTTGACAGTGTTTAAAGATATTCACACTGTCCCCACCAGACAATGCCTGAGCATAGGGATAGTTCTTGTTGGCAATGGCAAATGCCAATCCAGGCACACCTCTATATTGATGCTAAAATAGACCTTATATTTTGGCTAATAAGGACACTCTTGTCCAGAGGCAGGGCATGGGTAGTAAGGACTTCAAATTTTTGGGCTACTCCTCAAAATGTCTCTTCTACTCTGGCTGGCCAAACTCAAATTGTCCCTCAACATAGAAAAAATGAGTGGTTGAAGGTTTTTTACCCAACCAGGCAGAAAGCAGCATATCAGAGAATACTAGTCAAATTCTTAAAGGTCAAAACCTTGCCTCTCTTGCTGATTAATCATACGATTTTGTACCCAAGTACTCCATAGTCATTTAGGCAAAAAATAACAGAGACAAAGATGAAAAGGGTACTATGCAGAAGAATCCCAGCATGCACATCCTCCTCTACTCGGGGGTATGGGGACAGGAAGCAGGGTCTCGTAAATCAGCAGTGCACCATTCAGCACCAAGGTGAAGACTTTCCGTTTCAGTATCTAGAGGGGGCACAGCTGTCAGAAAACTTAAATGGTTTTGCGTGTCCTGATTTAATGGCTTGTAAGTTCAGATCCTAAACTACTGATGATTAAGGAGTGGGACAATATGGACCAACTGTGGTCCCAACTGCTTTCTTCCAAATGCAGAGTTTGTGCCATCACAACTAAGAGTGTTCTTACCTGGATGAAATGAGTGACCACATGGACATAGGCTCCCGCACCCGCCACAAACATACAGAGGGCGAAACTTGCATAGACCTTCTTCAGGTGCTGCTGTGTGGAGGGGGTTCTAGGGAAGAGCATTAATAACAGCCATCATTTATGAACTGAATTTATCTCTAAGCGAGAGATCATTTCTTTTTCTCTTCCCAGGGAAGATGTTCAAGTTATATTACAAATACTGGGTCTTCAGAAAAGCCATGTCATATTTTTCTATGCAAAAATGTGTCATGACTTTTCTGATGACCCACTAGTTGAGAGATACTCAGGAGAGCACACTGTAATAGAAAAGAATGTTTTGGGGGCTGTTAGGTGGCGTGGTAGTTAAGACACTGGACTCCCACACGGCAGACCACGGTATGAGTCCCAGACCTGGTGGCTTGCTTTCTCACTTTCCCTCTCTCTCTCGTCTTTCTCTGGTCAAATTAAATAATAATGGTGAATAAAGTTAAATAATTCTTTTTTTTTTTAAAAAAAAAAAGGCTGTTTTAAAAACAGGTTAATAGGGGACCAGCAGTTGGTGTAACAGCTATGTCACTGGATTCCCGCGTAGTTGACCGCAGTTCAAATCTTGGACCCGGTGGCTTAAACTCACACCAGGCGCATGTGCGTGCATGCCCAAGATCCCAAGAAGAAAAGGGATTGCGGTGTGGCCATCCCCCCAGGGGGTTAATTTCTTGCTTTCTGTCTCTGTCTGTCTTTCTGGTGAGTGCACACAAACCTCTCCAAAAACCTCTCTAAAAACCAACAACAACAATAAAACAAAAACAGGTCCAAAAACCTCTCCAAAAAACAACAATAAAACAAAAACAGGTTAACAGAATCTCCGATGCTGGGGAAGATCCCATAACCCTAAATCATGATAGATCAGCATCCAGCCTAGAATAAATGACTGTCTAGTGACCACACAGTAGCCCTCAGAGTCTGGGTACCTTTATGGGGTCCTCTGAATTCTAGCTAAGTTAATTTGATAGTTTATACACACAAATATTAATAAACTAGGAAAAGGGAAAAGAAACTAGCTATGAAAGGAAGTACAGTAAGAAACCATAGTCAAGGTCAAAGTACTTACATATGGGAAAATTTGAAGAGCGCATCAAAGTTGATCTTCC